GAAGCAAGGAGCAAGTTTTCTTGTATCGCTTACAGTTGTTCAACTTTGTTTGACCAAATCGAGCGCCAGTCAATGGCTCAATTATTTTTGGTTGGACAATTTGCGAATAAACCGAAAGTTTGCCGGGACACAAAATATCCGTAAGGACAAACAGGACACACAGGACACACAAGCAGAAGCTTGTGCCACATTCAAACTCGATTGTTATTAGCCTAATTGAGCTGCCGGCCAATTATGCATGCGATGGCTTAAAGGGATTCGACCTAGGGATTCCTGGCGATTCCTTGCGATTCCTAGGCGATTCCTAGGCGATTCCTAGGCGATTCCTGGCGATTCCTGGCGATTCCTAGGCGATTCCTAGGCGATTCCAATGCGATTCCTGGCGATTCCTAGGCGATTCCTAGGCGATTCCTGGGCGATTCCTAGGCGATTCCTCTGGACTCCTTGATTTTCATTTCCATTTAATGCACAAGTTCGAGCCGCATTCTGTGTTGCAACAGTTCTTGCAAAATTGCATTTTCTTAATTTATTTGCTATGCAAATTTATTTATTGACTGTGCATGTCGAACCGGGCCAAAATGGGGAAATGGCCATTGACACGGCCAACACGAGTCGGGAGGACATGCAACAAGGCTGCGCATACAAATCGATTGTCTGCCCACCCACAACCCCCGACCCCCCCCCCCGACCCCCTCCTCACCCTGCCACGCCCACACTCGCGTGCGGCACGTATCGTTGCATCCTTCAATGAACTGGCGTAGGAATCAGAGATTTCATTGCGAAATGAGATTTTACCAAAATTTGCTCAATGAAACTTCTGGCGAAGTGAAATTCTGAAAACTGCAGCTGCAATTTTGGCTTTAATCAATGGAACAATTGAGTTTGTGGCCAAAAATAGATGGGAATTCCCAAGAACAGCAGCGCAGCTGGGGCAATTTATTTATGGACTCAACATGCAACCTATGGAAAGGGACCAAAGATCAACCAGGGAAATCCTGCCAATTGACGGGTTAGACCTCTTCTTCATCATATTGGAGGATTGCGAAGAAGGAGATCTTCATCCAATCGAGAGATCTCTCAGTTCGGTTTATAACTGTAGAATAAGGTGTATTACTTTTTCAAACAGCAAAACAGTCATCAGCAGACAGTTGGATATCCCAATCAAATATAGATAAAGCCCGTTACCAGGTCTAAATTGCCCTTCCTTAACTATTTATATAAATAAATATAAAAAATGTATTAAATAAATTTATGCTTGTGAATCACAAATATCCTATATAGACATAGGTCGAAATTACCCAGCTCCCTCTAGACCAATTTGGCACATATGTAGGTCCAAATTTCCCACGCCCATAACTCAGTCAAAATTCAACCCATTTTCATAAAATTTAGCTTTTTGTTAATGGGTTGTCCTCTAAATCAATTTGGCATACAAATCTGGTAACTTTATTTCTGGTCGAAATTCATGTAAAAATTGTATCTCCAAATAGGAGATAGGTAAAAATAGGTAAAAATTTCCCTGTCCCATAACTCGGTCAAATCTTATCCGATTTCCATAAAGTTTCCCTTTTTGTTCATGGTTTGACCTCTAAATCAATTTGGCATTTAAATCCGGCAACATTATTTTTGGCCGAAATTCATATGAAAAAGCTACCGTCAAATATCCTATATAGACATGGGTCAAAAATCATAGAGATAGGTCAAAACTTCCCACCCATATAACTCGGTCAAATCTCATCCGATTCTCACGAGGTTTATTTTTTTATTCATGGATTGGCATCTAGATCAATTTGACATCTAAATCTGGCAACATTATTTTTGGTCGAAATTCATGTTCAAATAGTACCCTCAAATATCCTATACAGACATATGTAAGTCAAAATTTCCCATTCCCATAACTCGGTCAAATCTTATCCGATTTTCATTAGGTTTGCCTCTTTCTTCATGTTTTGACCTCTTAATCAATTTGGCATCTAAATTTGGCAACATTATTTTTTTTACTCAACCTCAACCCTGCGAATACCCAAGCAAAGCTCTTTAACCACGCGCGGCGAAACAAATGTGAAAACATGAAATTAACCCGCACAGGCAAAACAAAGATAAATTCCGCCCTACCCTAATCACAAACCCCTCCCCCTCTCCCTCCACTCCTCCCTTCGGTCTCTCCCCTGCCGACAGGGCGATAAAAAACAATGCAACTCAATTGGAGCACGCGGCCAAATGCCGACGCTGACGAATGGCAACCCTGGCAGAGTCTGTTACACCGCCTCCCCCCCCCCCCCCCACACATCCCCCCTCCCCTCTAGCTGCTGCTACCCTCAAATTCGAGAAATGCAAAAGCCAAAATTTACTGTGTGAATTCGGGCGTTCAGTGGCACATGCAAAATGAAAGTGGAAATGGAAAAAGTGGAAATGGCAAAAGGAAGTGGAAAAGGAAGTGGAAATGGCTGTGGAAATGGCGCCTGAAAATATGCAGCGCGGGCCAAAACCACAATGAGCCCCAAAATTGCCAACATAATTTATGTGCATGTGCATGTGCGTGTGTGTGTGTGTGTGTGTGTGTGTTTGTGTGTTTGGACTTTGCCACTGCTAATTAGCGGCATAATTTAATTCCCAATTGGCAATTGGCAACGCAGTGCGGAGCTGAGCCTCGACTTTAGGCAGACTTCCAATTGGAAGCTGGCGCTGGCAATGGTTGCAAACATTTTAAATGAGCGGCCTGTTGCGCCACACACACACACACACACACACACGCACAAACACACACCGATATATACACTCAGAGAAAAATAATGCTCTAGTCTGTAGTATGTAGAAATCAACCAGAATAAAAATCTTAAATTAGGTTTTAAATTAAATAAATAATATAACTAATTAATATTCTTACTGCAAGGAATTAAATTTACATTTTGCTCAAGAAAAGTTCTTAAGTTCAAAATGAACACAAATTCCAAACAAAAATCTTCTATTAATTGTTCTTCTATTAAATCATAATTATCAATAATAATAAGAATAAAAGATAAAATTCTCAAAACTAGAGCTTAAGAGTTTTTACTTAAAAATTGAAATAAAAAACTATTATTGAGTAGAAAATTCTTAAATCAAGTATTAACTGTTCTTGCTTTCAAAATTAATCATTTATGTTGTTAAACCAAAAAAAAAAATATTTAATATTCTTACTGCAAGAATTTACATTTACATTGGGCTCAAAAAGAGTTCATTGGTTCAAAATTAATAAAAATTAAAAATAAAAATAAAAAAATTTAAATTAAAATTAACAAAATAAAAAGTAGATAATTCTTAAAACAAGAGCTTACTTTATATACTAAATATACTATAAAATACTATATATACTATATATAAAACAAAAGCTTTCATAAAATACCAAATAAACTATATCAGATTTTAAATTATGAATTTTGAAACCAAAAAGATCTTAGCTGGATTTTCGCACTTGATTTGAGCAACTTGATTCAATATGACTTAGTATTTTCTTCAGGTGTATGCAAAGCAATATGTTGCCTCATATGCTGGCGCACGGCGACAAACAAATCCAGTTTTTTTTTGGGGGCTGCTCGCGTGTCCTGCATGGGAAATGACGCCCAGAGCCGGGCCGGAAAATCCAAATACGGAGGCGTGTCTCCAGCTGCTGCAGCCACAGTTAAAGCCAAGCAAAAATCGCTGATGAGCGATGCCGAAGGGAAATCGAATTAAATTAAAATTGCAACCGACACACACACAAATACTCTCACACACATATGGTCTCTACACTAACAAATGATGTTGACCGCCCGCGGGTCGAGCTGTTAATTAATCTTGATTTTGCCGTAGAAGTCGCTTGGGCGAAAGTCGCTTGCGTCAAAGTGACAATTAAATTAATCATGATGGCAAACGATTATGTCAACAGGAGGAGCAGCAGGACATGCAGATGGACATGGAGCAGGACATGGAGCAGGACGCCCGCAGCGCGAGTGGACAACTAGGCAGGGGAAGGGGTAACGAGGGGGGAAGGCTACTTCTGCTGATGGTTTCCACATTTGGAATCTCATTATGTCTGCTATAAAACTTATAATTAACATTTTGACCGCAACAAAATTCGCAAACTAGGCAAGAGTTATGGAGCTTCAACAACAGAAAAAAAAAGTGTCTAAAGATATAAAAAAAAAAACTGTATTTGACCGCAAGCAAGTGTGAACTTTATGCTAGAGTTATTTTTAATTAGTTTTGCGGTTTTTTACATTCCATGCTTAAAATTTAAAGGGGATATAGGAAAGGTTGTTGCAAAATGTTAAAAACAAATTAATCAACTCTCAGAACTAGCGATGACACGAACCCAAACGGCACGCATCTCTACATAGTTGTGTCTACCTTTTTTTTTATTTTGTCTAATTTTGTTGGACGGCCGCTAAAAACTAATTATGAATTTATTTTATGTTTTAAATTTCAAAAATAGTCGAAATAATATAATATATAAGGGTTATAAGAAAGGTGTCCAAATTGATGCTTTAAAGATCGCTAATAAATGCCAATTAATGTTGTTTAAATATGAAAAAATGTTAAAACCAATTAATCAACTCTCAGAACTAGAGATGACACGAACCCAAACGGCACGCATCTCTACATAATTTTGTCGACATTTTCTTTTATTCTGTTGGCCAGCTACTAAAAACTTATTATTAATATACTTTTTGTCTTAAATATCCAACCTTTTTTTTTCTTTTCAAGCTTGATTTCTATGCAACATTTAAAATTCCTCAAATTCCACTGTTGGCGCGCTCAAAACTTACGAAATATACTTTTTACATGTCAAGTAAGAAACTCAACTCTACACAAAACTAGAAACCATTGACAAGAACAACAAGAATTGCCTATGATTCTAGCCAATACACACACCATCGCTTTTGCTGTCATGCAATGAATTTGTTTCGTTAAGTGTGGAGTCAAGTTGACAGTGTCGGTGTCGGTCAGTCGATTAATAACACTGTAGCAACTTGTAGTGTTGAAAAAACAAAAAAAAAAAGTCAACACTCGCACGAGGCGACAAAGCAAAATTAAATATATATCAGTTAATTGAAACAAAAAGGCAAAACAGCATGGCGGAAACAGAGCCAGAGGTTGAGGTCAATGGCACCGAGGTCGAGGAGGATGGCCAGGACGAGGACATCAAGCAAAAGAAGCAAACGCGTCACGACGGCGGCGCCGCCGACCTGGAACGCGTGACAGACTACGCCGAGGAGAAGGAAATTTCAGCCGCAAATATATCGAGCGTAAGCAAGAGTCAAATATTAATGGTAAAGATTCGGATTTAAATGGAAATTGTTGACTTTCAGGCCGTGGAACAGTTCGGCAATCAGCGCAGCAAAGAAAACGAGCTGCGCGTGGCCAAGGAGAAGGAGCTGCAAAAGGTGCAGGTGAAGAAGGAGGACATCGAACTGATCGTGAGTATATCCCATAATCACATGTACAGATCCAATGAACACTCCTTTCCCCTGCAGATGAACGAGCTGCTCGTGAGCAAGGCCCAGGCCGAGAAGGTGCTGCGGGAGCAGAGCGGCGACGTCGTGGCCGCCCTGGAGGCCATCATCAGCAATTGAGACGCCGGCTGACCCGGCTGGACCCAGCCTGGACACGACTAAAGGTCGCCGCCGTCTGTTTCTTTTACTTAGCATAACAATGCTTTATTTGTACATTTATAACTAGTAAAGAAAAACAAAAGGAATATCTATTTGTAGAGCGATTTTGCCATGTTCAAGTTGTTCATCCGGAAACAGTTGAATTTTAAACTAATTAACATATTTCCGGCCTCTTAATTTGAGCTCTAGTTAATTGTAATACTCGATTTTATCATAGACGCATTTTAAGGGGGTTCCATTAAAAAAGGTTTCATATTTTGTTTATTATATTTAATGTATTTATTTAGAGCACGGCCCATTTTTTGCTTCTTTCTCTCCGGTCCTGGTAAAACCTTTGCAAATTTGACTAACGATCCAGCAATGTACAGTGAAAGCTCTCATCTTTAGCGAGTTTTCACTGTATGCCGTTCAATTTTTTTTATATGAATGAAAATAATTAGTCTAGCTAGCATAATCCGAAATTGACATTTGGATATTGCTTGAGTTAAGATTTTCCGAAGTCAGCTGTTCCTCATTAAATCTATGCATAAATATGATTAGTTTGATTTGATGTGGTGTCCGTCTGTCTGTCTGTCTGTGTGTAAAAAAGGCATAAACTATAACAAATTAATTAAAACAAAACTCATTTTATAACAACTAGGCAGACAGCAAAAAAACTAGAACCAAAACGAATAAATGTTTAAATCACGTTTAAATTTCATAGCGAGCGTATGGCGGAGCGTATTGAAATCATGTGATTAAATACTTTTGCAGATTCTCGCACGACGGCGTATTTATGTTCTGAGCCTTTCGATACAGATCCCGGTCACCAAACGTGCGAGCCTTGGCCAGCATGGAGTCGCCTGCAATGCAAAAATTCCAGTTCAAATTCAAAATCAATTTGAAAAAAGTTAAAGATAATTACGATAATTTCGCTCTCGACTGCAGGAGTGCTTCAAATGATTGATAAAATCTTCCTCCACCGATTCCTCTAGACGCGCCACTGAGCCCTGATACTCCGAATAGAAATTGTCCTTGACATAGTACGGAATCTTCAGGCCGTTTGTTTCGCGCTTCACAGAGTATTTACTGGCGGATTAAGCAAATCAATTAATTTAAGCCAAGAAAATGGATCAACTAAAACTCACTGCGAGGGCGTCAGACTGTACATGGGATCCGATATGAAGAAGGAGGACATCATGGACAAGCCGATGAGCAGTAAAATGGGCAGCAAGTTGATCAAGGCAGAGGAGTTGTTCGTCTGCAAGCAATAAATAAATGTAGTTATTAATTTGTTGCTTTATTTCATAGTATATTCTCACGTCTCTCTCCTCACGCGCATGCTGACGGCGTCGCTGCTGCCGCATGTAGACATTCTGCTGGGAGAAGCCGCCGTTGAAGAACATATTGAAGAGTTCCTCGGGACTGATGTCGGCCTGGAAGCCGCCATAATCATTGTAGTGCTGGCCATGTCCATGGTGTCCTGCCCTATTGCCGTGTCCGCTTTGCGACTCGTTGATGCCATATAGATCGTAATTCTTTCGCTTTTCGACATCGGTTAAAACGCCAGCAGCATTGCTCAAGGTTTTGAATGCCTCGACAGCACCTGGAGCCTTGTTCTTGTCCGGATGCAGCTGCAGGGCGAGCTTCTTGTACGCCTTCTTAATCTCCGAATCTGTGGCCGCTTTGGTCACGCCCAGCACTTCATAGTAGTCCTTGCACCTGCAACAGACATTATTCAGTTAAGAAAATCGAATTGAACAGCGACTATCGCACACATACTTTTTAACTTTTCGCACCGACTCCAGCTGATCGTTGGTGTACTCAGGTGCATGGTTCCTGGAATCCGAGTTGACACGCTTTCGCGGACCAGTGTCCGCATCTGCACCAGCTGCGGGACGCTCTTTGCCATTGCCGGCATTGCCGGGCGAGCTTTTCACCTTCGTCAGCAGCTCTGAAAAGTTGGTCAATCTTTGTATGCAAATTGATTGCGAAAAATTTGCCACACTCACGCTTTGCCTTCTCCGTGGGGTAAAGTCTTTCCGCTTTTAGGAGCAGCTTTTCCGCCTTTTCGGTCCGCCCCTCGGCATACGCCTGCTCAGCCATATCGATACATCGCTGCGCCTCGTCTTTGTTGCCCTCCATGGCTGCTGTAGTTGTGCTAGTCGACACGTTGATACGTGGTCAAGGGGCACTATGCAGGTGCAATAAATAGTTGAGATTTGCGCGTGTATTGGTATACTAAATACACAGACGATTTTGGAGCTCGTACTAATACACACACACACACAGCCTGCCGTGGTCTTTAGCAGTTTTTTGCTACTAATTGTTTGTTTAATCTAAGAGTGCACATGAGCTGCCTGGCCAATTAAATACCCAGTTTTTTTTTTTCTTTATATTATATTAACTAGACGGCCAGCTCAGCTCTCTAATTTAATTGATTTTACTGCGTTTCGTTGACTTTTTCATCACTTTGCAAAAGGATTTATCGATCTATCGCCGTGCCACCATAATCTATCGGCCTGGACGTGAGGTGAAAGCGCACACTGACTTGCAATAATTTTATTGCGAACAATTTGATATTGCTGGGCACATCTCGTGTGTGTGCCCTTGTTGACAAATTGATAATGGTGATGTGCATAAACATTAATTATTGATTCGATAACTTCTAATTGCCTCTGACAGCTGGTTTCAGGGTTGCTTTCACCAAGAGTGCTGCCAGATCGCCCACTACATTTAGACTTTAATACATTTGCCGTACGTAAGTGTGTGTGTGTGTGTGTGTGTTTGTGAGCGCCGCAGCATGGAATGAAAAGCGCAGCGCGTTCGCTGGCTTAATTCGTCTCGTATTTATTTATAATAAAAAAATAATAATAGAAGGCGCACAGAATCTGCGATGCAATAATCCCAAATACCGCGTATCAAGAATATAGTCAAGTGCAGTGCAATAACCGATGCATTTCGGCCCATCGTCGTCGTCGTTGTCGTTGTCATCGAACGTGTGTGCGTGTGTGGCGCAGTTTATACAAGTTGGCCTGAAAAAAAGTGAAAGAAGCAATATCGCCATATTGTGTTGTGTACTAAAATCCATATAATTTTGTCAACAAAACAAATGCTTAGCTAATTTTCGTATTGCGTCGACTTATGTAAATCGAATTGACGGTACGCAATCAAGAAAAATAACTATCTACAAAGGTACGTGAGATTCTTTGGGTGTATTAATGCATACATGTGCATATATACGTATAGGCAAAACTACAACACACTTGCATGCAAGCGCGCGCGTGTGTGTGTTTTCGGAAAATGCAGGAATCCAATCGTTGTCTCCATGCTCTGTGGTCATGCAAATTGATTAATGCCCCCCCCCCCCCTTGTCTGTTGCATGGGTTGATTGTTTATATTATTTCAATATATATCGAGCACAAAATTGGAAAACAAAATTAATCGATATCAATAAAAAATATATATCGATAGGCAACAGGGCAATGTCTGGCAAACTGTTTACATTTACACTGTTTCGTTTTATACGGCATATATAATAATTTGTTTTAAATTGTATACCTACAGAAAACATTACCTTCTAAATTAGGTATTTTATTTAATTATATTTTGGTAAACGGGGTCAAATGCAATTAGTATTCGTCTCTTTGGTGATGGTTTTTTCACCTGGAACTGTGTAATGGGTATTTCGTAGTCGAGCACTCTCGACTCACTCGTATTTTCGGCTGATTTACTTTTGGTGTTTTTTTTTTTTACGAATCTTTTTAAATTCCGAGGGGAATGAATGCAACACACAAAGGGAACAACAACAACAGCGCGGCAAAAAGTCAAAGACCGATTTGCGCATTTTTAATTCGTTAATTTTGTATTTTTATGCAAAAGCAAAGTAAATGCACGGAATGGAATGGAAATGGAAAGCTGTTGCAATGGCTTTTTCCATTTCAGTTGATGTGCACTTCTGCTCCGCATTTAAATGAATATCTATTTCTAATTGATTCGTATTTAAAATTTATTTAATTTGTTTACAGACTCCGATTGCTGCTTACACAACAATCTACATACAAATTGGGTTGCTCGGTTACGGGACAGCGCTGGCTGTCAACAGTTAAAGAAGGTGAGTTATCTCATACCTGTAAAAGGAAATAGAATAGTTTTAGTGCTTGTTTGATTGCGCCGGCTATCGATTTGTTGTTGAGTTGTCCGCCCAGGGGAGGTTTCACTGTAATTTCTTTTTGCGTCGAGCTATATTTTAGATGATTTCCTATATGGGTGGACCATCACCTCAAATCGAAGCAGTTTTCCAACTATAAAAAAATCCTTTCTCCCCCTGTGTTGGAGAACTTCTCGTTACGTGCGGCGACAGCTGAGAGCGAAAACATAAAAAGCTCAAGCCGCAAAGACAAACAAAGACAGAAGCAAACGCAAAGGTAGCGGCAACAACAGCGAAAAAGCCAAGAAAAAAGCTCCCTCAGTCGTCAGCTGCTGCGCGTAGCGTGAAGTTTATGTGCTTTTCCTCTCGCTGTCGCTGTCGCTGTCTCGCAGAACGCGTCTAACCCAGTCTAAACAATTTGGCTAAAAACTATAAACTACGCGTAATCCGTTGTGGAAGAAGCTGATTTCGGTTTGCCAAGGTGTGTAAAGGTCGGGCGGACGGGCGTCGCTTTACGTTTTCAATCAATTTGTAACTGCCGGCCATAGCGTGACCTGAGCGCGCGTGCTTTACCATTGCTGTATAACTGTGACCTTAATTTAAACAAATAATATCAGAGCTAAATACAAGCAAGCCTCGAACAAGAGACACGCGCAATTAAACACAAAAAGCGAACGAGCAGAGAGCTTTACAACAATAACAGCAGCAAGAAGAAGAAGAGCAATGAGAACTACATAGATAACTTCCTCAATCTGGCAACGACCACTTTGTAGTACTCTTGAATTTTTGGTCGTTTGAGGTCATTCTTCAAGTACGCACCAGGCAACAAAACAAATCAAATAACAACAACAACAATTGATGCTTGGCTACATTAAATTTATTACCTCAAGCGGCTTTAAACGAATCGCACTCAAGAGTAATTTGCTCTCTCTTAATCTGAGTGACGCAAATGAACAGTTTCATTCTTATAGAATATTGCTAACAGAAATGAATATAAAAAATTCCGCCGCATTCAAAGTTGTTTGTTTAAAAGCGTTGCCAGGTTTGTGCAAATTTTTTAACAAAATAAAATAAACGCTTGCCAACAACAGTAATAGCCACTGCAGTCAGCATTGAAATTCTCGAGCTGGTTCTCTCTCTTAATATACATATACATATATGTATATTCTTGCGTACGTATGTATGTATGTACGTAAATATGTATTAGTCGATTTGTCTCGCTCGCGCACACAACACATGTTTTGATTTTGCCTTGCTGGGGCCGTGCAAAGTAAAATGCAATTAAAAACATGTGCGCCACTATTTTGTTTATTGTTTATAAATGAGCGCACTTATCAAGCTCAGCTGCGCTCTCACTCACTAATTCACTCGCTCGCTTGCGCTCTCCCCACTTTGCACTATTTCTCTCGCTGAGGTCATGCTCAGCGCTCAATAGTCAAAAAGACGAAACACCCACCGCTATTTACTGCTGCTATCAAACGACCCTCGCCGGTGCAGGTTTTGCCTCGTTGCTCGTGAGCAAGTGAGTGAGCGAGAGAGTGTGAGTGAGCGGGTGGCGGCAGAGTGAGCGAGTGAGCGCTTCAAGTTTCTGTGCTTGTGCAAAGTCAAAAGTAAACGCAAGCTTTTTATTGCTGCGCAGGTTTTTGGCTTTTCGTTGTGCTTTAGCTTTTTTGTATACACTCGTACACACGTACGCTACATATGTGTATATAGACACACACACACACACACACGCACACACATTGAAGTCAATTCGACTGATATAGGAAGAACCTTGTGTACTCTCATGACTATGGAATGGAATTTAGTTAGTAGTTTTTTCCTCTCTTCTCGTTTGCACTTCTCAATGCTGCCCGCTGTGGCCGTTGTTGTTGTTGTTGTTGTTGTTTCTGCTGTGATTACTACACACTCACATTCACACTCACATTCGCATTCACATTACGTTTTGTTTGGGTGCACTGTGCACCTATTCTAAAGTCACATGCAAAGATGCCCAAAAGACCTTCCAATCGTCCCTTTCCTGCCCCATGGGGTAATGTGAAGGTGCTCATCTGTACATTTGCTCATCTGGCTCATCTGGGTGTCAATGTTGACCTCGCTGTGCCCGGTGCACAGTTATTGATTTTCTTTGTATGCCCTTGCAAAAGGTATAATCCCTTTTTTACCAATTGTGTAACGTGGAGGCGACATCTCCGACTCAATGAAGTATATATGTATGTAAATTCATAATCAACAACAGTCGAAATAAACGAATATTGATTTATCGCTTATATGCACTGTATACGTTTGTATAACGGTACATTTTACCGCACATCTGATAGACGTCAGCAAGGGTATTCAAACTTTGGCATCCCAAAGTTTGCTGTTCCTTGTTTATTTTTTTCTCTTTTTGCTTTGGAGGCTTTTCTCAATCCCTTTGCCGGGCCATGTGCAAATGGACAAACCGAGGGGGGGGGGGGGGGGGGCAGCACAGTAGAGTCAGCAATTTCTGCTGCCATTGCTGCTGCTGTTGTTCATGTTCTTGTTGTTGCCGTTGTTCTTGTTCTTGTTGTTGTTGTTCTTGTTGTTCTTGTTGTTGCTGTGGCCGTTACCGTTGCCTTTGTTTAATTTCGTTGCTTATCACACAATACTGATAAGTTCGCTCGCTTCTTTTTTTTGTTTCGAATCATATTTTTGCTTGTTGTTTTTGCTTTTTTTTTTGTTTCGATGGCATTGAACATTGCTTTCTGGTTTCTTCACCCTTCTTTTATACATTTATACATATACATATACATATTTATATTTATATTCATATGTATGTGTATTTGTTATGTGTGCTTTTTTGCTGCTTTGGCTTTGGCTTTTTGCTGCTCTTTGACAATTTCACGCACAAATATCACGTAGTACCGGGAGTATCAGCTTGGCTTTAATATGATGACACACGTACTCCCCTGAATTGGCTGTGATAAATTTGATGTGTGCTTTTTTCACTTTTACCCCCCTTTCTTGCTGTTGTTGTTATTGTTATGATTGTTATTTGATCAAAGCTTTTCCGCTTAAGACCAAAGCATTTTCGAAGGCTTCATGTGTATATGTACATACATATATCTGTCTGTATTTATATGTTTGTTCAGCATGAATATGACGCTCATTTGAAACACACACAAATAAACATAAAAAACAATATTGGCAGCAAATTGAAAAGAATTTAACTTTGAAAATTCCACATATTAAATAGTGCAGTGAACTACAAGTTTATAAATATATACATAACTAAACGTGACGCAACCTGTTTTGGATTTGTTTTTTTGTGCTGGGCGCGCTTGTCAAAGAAAATCT